GCTGCTGGGGGGCCCCCGGTTTGCTGCGGGGTCCACCTCTGCTGCAGCAGCAGCAGCAGCAGCAGCAGCTGCTGCTGCTGCTGCTGCTGTGGGGCCCCCAGCCCCGGGGGCCCCACAACCCCACAAGGTCTCCTCCAGTCTAGACAGCGAGGGGGCCCTCAAAGCAGCAGCAAGGGGAAAGCCGTCGGGGTTTCTCGTGGATTCCTAAATTGAAATAAATAAAATAAATTAAATAATTAAATTAAATTAGTTAATTCAATTAATTAATGGAATTGATTAATTAATTTAATTAATTAACTAATTAATTAACTCGTGTAATTAATTAACTAAATTGATTAATTAATCTATTTTTAGATTAATTAATTAATTAATTGATTACTCTAATTAGTTAATGTAATTAATTAATTAATTACATTAATCACTTAATTAATTTAATTAATTAATGAATTAATGAAACTAATTAATTAATTTAGTTAATTAACTAATTATATTAGTTAATTAATTAGTGAAATTAACTAATCAATTATTTAATTAAATTAATTAATTAAATTAAATAGTAAATAAATGAATAAATAAATAATAAATGGAAGATATATAAGAAATAAAACAAATAAAAAGAAATAAAATAAAATAAATAAATAAGCAAAAGAAATAAAAAGAAATAAAAATAATTTGAAGAAAAGGCAAGTGAGACGGAAAGAAGAAAGTCCGGGAGATATAAAACAATTAAATGAAATTGAAAACCAAAAATACTAAATAAATAAATAAATGAATGGATGAATAATAAATAAATAGATAATAATAAATAAATAAATGAATAAATAAATAATAAATAAATACTGATGAATAGTAAACAAATAGACAAATAAATAATAATAAATAATAAACATGTAAATAGTAAACAAATAAATAAGTAAATTTAAAAAGTTTAGTGAAGTTTAAATAGATAATATATAATTAATAATTAGATGAAATTAAAAACAAATAAATAATAAATAAACAAATAAATGAAATTAAAAAGAAATAAATGAGTTGTAAATAAATAAATTATAAATAAACTGTAAATAAATATATAAATAAATAAATATAAATATTTATTGAAATTAGAAGTAAATAATAAATAATAATAAGTTAAATGATCTGAAAATAAGAAATACACAATCAATGATAAATAATTAAACGAAATAAGAAGCAAACAAATAATAAATTAAATAACTGATTAATAAACCAATTAAATATAAATAAACCAATCAATTAATTAACGAATTAAAAAAAATAATTAATTAAAAATTAATTAATTGGTCAAGAAAAATTAATTAATTAATTGAAAATTAATTAATTAATTGAAAGTTAATTAATTAATTAAAAATCAATTAACCGACTGATTAATTAAAAATAAATAACTAATTGAAAATTAATTAATGAAATAAAATTAACTAATTAATTAAAAATCAATTAACTAATTAGTTAAAAATAAATTAATTAATTAATTATAAATTAACTAATTAGTTAAAAATTAATTAATTAATTTAATTAAAAATAAATAAAAAAGAATTACCAGCAGCGACGAAGAAACCCGAGCTGTACATACACCCGAAGACAGCAACGACCCTCCCGACAGCAGCAAAGTCGAATGCGCCCGCCTGCAGCACAAACACGCAAGCTGCTGCTGCTGCTGCTGCTGTTGCTGCTGCTGCTGCTGCTGTTGCTGTTGCTGCTGCTGCTGCTGCTGCTGCTGTTGCTGCTGCTGCTGCTGCTGTTGCGGCGGTGTTGGTTGCTGCTGCTGCTGCTGATTCTGGTGGCGATGGGGGGGATGGGAAGGTTACTCTGGGCTGCTGCTGCTGCTCCTCGAGGAAGCAGCAGCAGCAGCAGCAGCAGCAGCAGCACAAGTAACACAGGTAACAGCAGCAGCAGCAGCAGCAGAGGTAACAGCAACAGCAGCAGCAGCAGCAGAGGAAGCGAGGGCCGGCAAGAAATATGCCCCACCTGAGATTCGAAGTCAGGAACAGGATTCGCTGCTGCTGCTGCTGCTGCTGCTGCTGCTGCTGCTGCTGTTCGCTCTGCGCCAAGTTGGGCTTTCCGCCCGTAGCAGAAGCTGCTGCTTCCGCTGTGTCTTGCTGCTGCTGCTGCTGCTGCTTCTGCTGCTGCTGCTGCTGCTTCTGCACCGCCGCTGCTGCAGCGAGCTGCCTAACGCCCTTGAGCGGCTCCTCTGCTGCGGGCGCGTCTGCTGCAGCGTCCGCTGCTGCTGCTGCTGCTGCTGCTGCAGCAGCAGCAGCAGCAGCAGCATTTTGGGCCGTTAGTGCAGCAAGAAGATGCCTAATGCTCAAAGACTGCTCCATTCCCAAAGATGATAAAGGAGAATCCACAAAGACAGAATCAAATTCCCAAGTCAGCAGCAGCTCGCAGAGCAGCAGCAGCAGCAGCCGCAGCGGGAACTGAGGTGTACATACACCCCGGTTGAAGCAGTAGTTCCAAATCGACTCCCTAAAGGCACAACGCAAACTACAAACAATCCAGCAGCAGCAGCAGCAGCAGCAGCAGCAGCAGCAGCAGCAGCGAGGGAAGGAGCGGCAGGGGCAGCTGCGGCAGCAGGAACAGCAGGTGCTGCTGCAGCAGCAACAGCAGCAGCAGCAGCAGTGGCCACTGCAGCGAAAGCACCAAAGCAACAGCAGCAGCAGCAGCAGCAGCAGCCTACGCAGAGAAGGCGCAAGAGCAGCAGCAGCAGCAGCAGCAGCAGCAGCAGCAAGGCGGACCCGTGTCGGATGAAGATGATTTGCTTTTGCTGCAGCACTGCTGCTGCTTCTGGCAGCAGCTTGTCGCGGTGTACGTACACCTCAAGGCCCTCAGTGTCTGCCCAAGAAAGAAAATAAAAAAACCACCGAAGACAAACGAGCCACTTCCTCAAGAAGTTGCACACCACCTGCATGCGCAGCACCCACACAACTGCTGCTGCTGCTGCTGCTGCTGCTGCTGCTGTTTGTGCTGCTGCTGTTTGTGCTGCTGCTGTTTGTGCTGCTGCTGTTTGTGCTGCTGCTGTTTGTGCTGGTGCTGGTGGTGCTGCTGGTGCTGCTGCTGCTGCTGCTGGTGCTGCTGCTGCTGCTGCTGCTGGGGCGGGGGCGGGCTGCAGGTGCTGCTGCTGCTCGTGTTGCTGCGGGGAATGGGAGGGCTCGCGGGAAGCGCGCTGCTGCTGCTGCTGCTGCAGCGGGATCTACAGTGGGGTGGAGCTGTTGCTGCTGCTGCTAGTGCTGCTGCTGCTGCAGCTGGGGCCGCTGCTGCTGCAGTTGTGCTGCTGCTGCGCACTTCTCTGAAGACTGCCCTCAGGAGAGCAACGTGGGCCTTGAAGGCCTGGGCCTTGGTCGTTTCCTTTGTTGCAGCAGCAGCAGCTGCTGCTGCTGCTGTCGCAGCAGCAGCGGAGCTGCCGGTCCCTGGCAGCTGCTGCTGCTGCAGCAGCAGCGCGTAGCGAATTATCACAGCAACAGCAAACAGGGCTAGCCACAGCAGCACGCAGAGCCGCAGCAGAGAGGCCCCTGGGGGCCCCTCCTCGGGTGCTTCTGCTGGGGGTTCCCCGGAGGGGCCCCAGTCGGAAGCCTCCATGTGCTGCTGCTGCTGCTGCTGCTGCTGCTGCTGCAGCTACTTGTGCACCGCAGCGCCGCCACTGGCTGTCTTCTCGAAGCAGCAGAGTAAAAAAACGGAAAATAAATAAAGAGAGAAGGAAGTGGATCTCGAAAAGCTCAGTTTGCTTCCAGGCTCGGGGCAGACAGCCGTGTTACTGCTGCTGCTGCTGCAGCTGCTGCTGGTGCTGCTGCTGCTGCTGCTGCAGAGGTGTGATAGAGCCACCAAAATAAAACAAAAAACATATCGGACTTAATAATACTAAAAGACCAAAGAGAGAAGGCCATTTTCTGCTGCTGCAGCTGCGCAAGCGGCTCAACAGGGGCCCCTGCAGCAGCAGGGGGCCCCCAGCAACAGCAGCAGCAGCAGATTGGAGGTACAGCGGGGGGCCCCCGTTAAGAATGATCAGATGTTTGAAAGAGTTTATTTTCAAATTGTGTTTTGATTATATTTTGGGAGCTCAAATGTGCACACACTGAGGCCCAGGCAGCAGCAGCAGCAGCAGCAGCAGCAGCAGCCGCTGTTGCTGCTGCTCTCGCAGCTGTTGCTGCTGCCACAGCTGTTGCTTCCGCTGTTGCAGCTGTTGCTGCTGCTGCCATAACTGTTACTGCTGCTACCGCAGCTATTGCTGCTGCTGCTGCAGCAGGAGCTGCTGCTGCTGCAGCAGGAGCTGCTGCTGCTGCTGCACTGTGGGAACGCCCAGACTGAGGGAAGCAGCATACTCCCAACTATAAGAAAACTAGCAGCAAATAAGGCCCAAAAGAAGACCCAGGCCTCCCCTGGCCCCCTCCAGCAGCAGCAGCAGCAGCAGCAGCAGCAGCAGCAGCAGCAGCAGCAGCAGCAGCAGCAGGGGGCCCCCAGAGGGTACCAAATGTAAAACTTGCAGCTAATTAGTCGCAGCGGGGGGCCCCCCAGCCCCCCAGAAGTGCAGCAAAACACAAACCCACGAAACACCCAGCCATACGGGGGGCCCCAAGGGCCCCCCTGGGGGCCCCCGGGGCCTGGGGGGCCCCATATGGGGGCCCCAGAGCCGTGGGGGCCTCATATGGGGGCCCCCAGATGCCTAGGGGCCCCATATGGGGGCCCCAGATGCCCAGGGGCCCCAGTTGGGGGCCCCCAAAAGTGTGTGTGCAGCAACCCCTGGGGGCCCCCCAAAAGCCCTTTTGAGGGCCCCTCATGGGGGCCCCTAGAGGGGCCCCGACAAGGGGGGCCCCCGAAGGGGCCCCTATATGGGGGGCCCCGGGAGGGGCCCCCACAGAGAGCCGGCTGTATCGACAGCTGTGCATGCATGCGCAGTGAGGGGGGCTGCAGCAGCTGGGGGAGCTGCAGCAGCAGATAGTCCAGCAACACAGGGGGCCCCCTGGGGGCCCCCGGGGGGCCCCCTGTGT